TGGCAGCGGATACGGGGTGGTGCCGGCCTAGGGAGGGGGGCAGGGGACTTGGGGTGGTGCCAGGCTGGGGGGGTGGCAGGGGACACGGGGCAGTGCCAGCCTAGGGAGGGAGGCAGGGGACACCGGGCAGTGCTGGCCTAGGGAGGGGGGCAGGGGACACGGGGCGGTGCCAGGCTAGGGGAGTGGCAGCGGACACGGGGTGGTGCCGGCCTAGGGAGGGGGGCAGGGGACAGGGGGCGGTGCCGGCCTAGGGAGGGGTCCGGGCACTGATGTTGCGAATATTAATTGGCAGGCAGAGAAGACCTGACTGGGAGAACCCTGGGTCCAAGTCCCAGCCCCACGATGCCAGGCTGGGGAGACCCTGTGGCAGCGGCCAGGCCTCTGTGCCTCAGTTTCCCGTCTGTGAAAGGCGGGGAAAACATCTGGGCCAGGGCGGGAGAAAGGATCTTGGGCACCACACCCACTCCCCCCGGGTCCCTCAGGTCACAGCAAGATGCCGCAGTTTCCAGCAAGAAAGGCCTTTGCTGGTTGGAGTTACACTCACGGCCCCTCCAGAGAAGTCGGGGTCTGGGCCTCTGGCACCCGTGTGGCTGGCGTGGGCTTTGGCTCTGAGGTCTGCCGGACAGGTTTAGGAGGCGGCTGGATGTGTGTTTAGGCCGGAGCTGCCAGTCATGTTCTCTGCCCATGTCTATCCCCAGAGCACAGTCTCCCCGAGACCCCGGGTCCTGGCTCCTCCTCCCGTTCTGGGTGGCGTCCCCGTGGTCGGGTGGCCCTTGAGGGAGGCAGCCTCGGAGGAAGGTGCGTCTGGGACCCAACTGGGGTGGTCAGAAATCTCTAAGTCCCTGGAGCTAATCCCAGTCTCGGGTTCTAAGTCCTCCCGGCTCCAAAGCGTAGGTTCTTCTAACCATGAGCAGAGGCTGAAAAGAGGACCTGACTTTCCCGAGCCTGGTTGTCCGGCCAGTCCACTCTGGCCACGGGAGCGGGAGGAGCGCCCTCGGGGTTCGGGCCCTCGAGGCACCCCAGGTGTGATGAACTGTCACACTTGTGAAGTTGGAGTGGGGGAGCCCCAGCCCTGCCCTTTCAGGCGGGGTGACCCTGAACAATGGTCTGTTCCTCTGTGCCTCAGTTTCCCTGTCTGGAAAGGAGGCGGCATCTACAATCTAAAAGGACTACGGGGATGTCAGCCGAGTCGGCTCCTGCCCAGGCTGGCCCCCACTGGCAGCCACAGACATCGTTGGGGGTCAGGGAGAGGGTAATTCCTCAAGGCCTTCGTGTTCTGGGGGTCCGGCTGCGGGCTCAGAGGAGGCAGTGCATGGCTGCCAGCCATTGTCGGTGGAGACGTGGCTCCGGCCTGATTCCCACCGCTGCCCCTTCTTTGCTCCCTGGCAGGGCCCCAAGAGAGGAGCGGGTGCCACCCGATAGGTGACATTGTCCCGTCACAGGTGGGGCTCAGCTGACAGCAGCTCCCAGCCCTGGACGCCTGATACCCCTGAGAAGGTCCCCTTTGCCCTGTCGTCACCATGGAGATGGCCACTGCCCAGCACAGAAGGAACACGGGTAGGGGACAGCGAGGGCACAGGGGGCAGGCCAAGGATGCAGCCGGTCCCCACACCGGGCCCTGCACCACGGTAGCTAACGGGGCCGGTGTTTATGCCACCCCAGAAGATCCGGAATGTTTCCTTCCATGCTTCCCTGAAACCTTACAGCTCGTTCTGTTTAGAAAACCACACACAAGGCCAGGTGCGCTGGCTAACACCTGTAATCCCAGAACTTTGGGAGGCCAAGGTGGGCGGATTGCCTGAGGTCAGGAGTTCGAGACCAGCCTGGCCAACACAGTGAACCGCCCTCTGTCTCTACTGAAAATACAAAAATTAGCCGGGCGAGGTGGCGGTGCCTGTGGTCCCAGCTACTCGGGAGGCTGAGGCAGGAGAATGGCGTAAACCCGGGAGGCGGAGTTTGCAGTGAGCTGAGATCGCACCACTGCACTCCAGCCTGGGCGACAGAGCGAGACTCCGTCTAAAAAAAAAAAAAAAAAAAAAAACAAAAAAACTATACATGAGTAGCCGGTTAGGAAACGTCTCTGCAGGGCAGCACACTTTCCTTCCTCTTGGAAGCCAGAGGCTTTGACTCTTCCTGGCTGCAATACGATCTCCTCAAGGTACTGCTGGGGTCAGCCATCACCTGCTGAGGCTCGGGCCGGAGCCCCGTGCTGCCTGGGTGTTCACACAGCTCCGGCTCCACCGCAATGCTGAGACCAGGCAATGCGGCCGGCCAGGGTCTCCACGAACTGTCAAAATGCAAAAAAAAAAAAAAAAAAAAAAAAATACGGCGGCATCCATCGTCCCTCAGTATCCATTCCAGACCCAGGAGGACACCAGGGTCCACGGGTGCTGAGGTCCCCGACTTGGAGGGTGCTGAGGTCCCGGCGTGGAGGGTGCTGAGGTCCCGGCATGGAGGGTGCTGAGGTCCCCGGCGTGGAGGGTGCTGAGGTCCCGGCGTGGAGGGTGCTGGGTCCGGCGTGGAGGGTGCTGAGGTCCCCGGCGTGGAGGGTGCTGAGGTCCCCGCTGCGGTGGGTGCTGAGGTCCCCGGTGTGGAGGGTGCTGAGGTCCCCGCTGCGGTGGGTGCTGAGGTCCCCGGCGTGGAGGGTGCTGAGGTCCCGGCGTGGAGGGTGCTGAGGTCCCCGGTGTGGAGGGTGCTGAGGTCCCCGCTGCGGTGGGTGCTGAGGTCCCCGACTTGGAGGGTGCTGAGGTCCCGGCGTGGAGGGTGCTGAGGTCCCCGGCATGGAGGGTGCTGAGGTCCCCGGCGTGGAGGGTGCTGAGGTCCCGGCGTGGAGGGTGCTGAGGTCCCCGGCGTGGAGGGTGCTGAGGTCCCGGCGTGGAGGGTGCTGAGTTCCCGGCGTGGAGGGTGCTGAGGTCCCCGGCGTGGAGGGTGCTGAGGTCCCGGTGTGGAGGGTGCTGAGGTCCCTGCTGCGGTGGGTGCTGAGGTCCCCGGCGCGGAGGGTGCTGAGGTCCCCGGTGGGAAGGGTGCTGAGGTCCCCGGTGGGAAGGGTGCTGAGGTCCCCGCTGCGGTGGGTGCTGAGGTCCCTGGTGTGGAGGGTGCTGAGGTCCCGGTGTGGAGGGTGCTGAGGTCCCTGGTGTGGAGGGTGCTGAGGTCCCGGCGTGGAGGGTGCTGAGGTCCCTGGTGTGGAGGGTGCGACTGCGCGTGCAACCGGCACTTTACATCATCTGCGGACCGCGATGCCAGGCACACGCGCAGACGCCGTTCCCACACTGTGGCTTGGGCAACAGCAACAATAAAAAAGTCTGTCCGTGTTCAGCACAGACGCAGCCGTCCACCGAAAGATATATTTTCCATCTGAGGTTGGTGGAATCCCCAAAAGTGGAGCCCACGGACGCGGCCGACTGGCTGTATCACGCAGCCATAAAAGGGAAAGACGTACAGACACCCCACGGATGAGTCCGGGAAACATGGCGTGTGGTGACACGAGCCAGACACAAAAGGACGCACATGGCAACTCCATTTACACGACAGATGCAGAGCAGGAAAGTCCGGAGACAGAACGGAGCCCGCTGGTTGGTGGGGGCTGGGGAGGGGTGGGAGTGACTGGTGGGTGGGGGGACTCTCTTTGTGGTGATAAAAATGTTCTGAAAGCAACCGTGAAGACGTTTGCACAGCCCCGCGAATACCGTAAAGGCCCCTCGAGCTGCGTGCTTCCGTGGCTGGGTGGCGTGCTGTGTGCATCACATCGCAACAGGGCTGTTGTTTAAAAAATGTAAGCATCTCATTCATGATTTTTATATTGATGGCACGCTGCAATGATAACACTGTGGATAAACTGGGCGAAGTGAAATATTAGCATGAACTTGAATTTCACGTCTTCTATTTCATCGTCTTCGGTGTGGACGCCAGAACATTCGCAGTTCCCCACGTAGCTGGGATTCGTGGCTGGAGTTCTGTTTGTGGAGCTGCTCCAGGCCCTGACAGCGCTCAGGCAATGTGGGGGCGCTCCCTCGTCGCCGTGGTGACAGGCCCCCGCCCCGCAGGCTGCCAGCGCCACTCCCAGGCTGGAGTCTGTCTGCAAGGCAGTGGTAAGGGGGTCCTGCCCAGCGGACCAAGGACACAGCCGGTCCCCACGCCAGGTCCCCTGCACCGCGGCAGCTAACGGGGCCGGTGCGGCGCAGGTGCAGCAGTGGGGGCGGCTTCTGTTCTGCTTGCCGGGTGAGCACGGATGGGTGCTGCTGCGTGCCAGGGCCCTCACCCCAGCGTGCCTGTGGACGTGAGCGTGTTCGGAAGCGGGGCCTTCGCAGGCGTAATTGGTAGCATTAAGGTCATATTGGCTGAGAGTGGGCGTGGATCCAGTGACTGGGTCCTTAGGAGAAGAGGAGGTGACACAGGTCCAGGGAGGCCAAGCGCGGATGGAGGCAGAGACTGGAGTGGGGCAGCTACCAGCCAGGACCGCCCAGGACAGTGGCAGCCGCCAGAAACCAGGAGAGGCAGGAGGACCCCTAAGGAACCTCGCAGGACGCACAGCCCGGCCGACGCTGTGGCTTTGATTCCAGCCTCTGGAGCTGGGAGGGCAGGGATTTGTGTGGTTAGAGGCCACCCAGCGTGTGGTCATTCACCACAGCAGCCCTAAGAGAGGAAGGCGCCTCCGCCTGGAGATGCTGCCTGGGTATGGCTGGAACAGCCTCTCAGGCCACACACCGCCCTCCATCCCGACCGCTGGAGCTCACTAATCCCGAACCATGTGGCACGGCTCTCTGTACCCGCACACCCTGAGTGACCCACCGGCCCGGGGACCTGCCGCACAGTCTCATCTCCCACCTGACCACGGAGGTTCTAGGAGGCCCAGACACCGGCCCAAAGCCACCCGCAGGGGAGGGGGGCTGGGGGTGAGCCGGATGCAGCCTGTGTCAGGGAAAACCCACCCTCAGACACGCTCAAAATCCTCGGCGGGAGATCACAGAAAATCTCCCTTTTGTTCCCATTCTGGGAACGCGTTACAGTGAACACGGATGCAAATTTATTTCAGATATCAACGCCTGCCTCAGGGAACAGTTGTTCTTGCGCTATTTTTTCCCCTGTGGGCTGTGAGTTCTGGAAGTTTCCAAATGACAGTGACAACGGTGACGGTGGTGGGAGCAGGGAGGGTGGCGTCATTCCGTCCCTAAGCACACGCAGGCCAGGCACCGTTGACCACATCACCGTAGCGAATGACTTCTTTCTCACGGTGGCTGGCGTTCTATTAGCTATTAAATATAATCATTATAATAATTATTAAACACAAGAAAGTCAGCTATTGTATTCTTTTACGGATGGGCAAGGTGAGGACATTGGGCCAGGCCCTTCCCGAAAGCCAGAGACCCCGGCCTGCTCTCGGGGGAGGAGGGAGGTGGGGCCGGTTGGTCTGGGGCCCCGCTGGCCAGAGCAGGCCCGGCCACTGGACACTGGGTGGCAGAGGCGGGCGCGGTGCTGCCGAGGGTCCCCGGGGGTCCGGCGGGCCCCACCTCCCACAGAAGCAGCAGGTGCCTCCAGAAACGAAGCCCTTCTGTGGCTGCTTGGGTCCTGTTGGGAGGTTGGCTTCTCTGTGCTGGTGTTTCCCTTCTCATGAAGTCCCATCCCCGGCCCGGCTCCTGTGAATGGCGCTGCGGTGATCGCGGTGTCTGTGTCGGCCTTCAGCTCCTCAGGGCACACGCCCACACGTGTGAAGATTCTGTGCGGCTGTCTGAGGAACTCCAAGCGGGTCCCACAGCGGTTGCACCGTTTCCCCGGAGCCGTGCCCCCCAACCCTGGCTGGGGACCCCTACCCCACCCCCCACACTCTCCTGCCTGAATGGAAGCTCTGGCCCCTCCAGGACGCCCCACCGAGCTCTTCTCCCAGTAACCACGGAGCAAGAGCGGGAGGGCCTAGGGGCCCCTGAGAGGCCGCCGGACGCCGTATCCAAGACCCTGCCCAGGGACCAGCTCATCTGAGGCGAGGCTGAGAGGCTGGTGTGGCTGGTGGGAGCGGGGGCTGGGACTGAGCCACGGGCACCTGGGACCTGCCGGAAGGCTCAGCTTCCTGACCACAGGGCGGGGATGTGGACTGTGCCCATGGGGGCAGCCGAGGAGGATGGAGGGGAACCCGCCCTGACCTCAGGGCTGCCGGCCCCGCTCCCGCCATTTCCTCATGTTCCCGTCGAGGTGGGCGCCTGGTTTGCAGAGCCTCCCACCTGGGAGAGGCGGCCCCTCGACCGTCTGCCCGACAGAAAACAGATGGCCCCTCTTCCTGCAGAGCCTGGGACCGGGGTCCTGGGATGCTCTGTGCGGGTGCGGGGCCCAGGGCCACGTTCCAGCATGCACTGCTGCTTCCCCTCAGCCCATTGCTGTGGAGCCCCGGGAGGACGTCTGCAGCCTGCCAGACGCAGCCCCTGCCCCAGCCCAAGCCCATCCGGACGGGCCTCTGGAGGCCTCGGCCCCCTCCCCAGAGTGGAGCCCCCGCCCCACCCATCCTCTTCTCACCACTGGGAGGGTGGACCTGGCTGTTTCTGGTCACCACCGAGGCTGCCGGTCACCAGGGAGGCCGACTCCGGACTCTGGTTCACTGTCCCCAGACTCTCCTGGCCGCCCCCTCTGGGGCCTGCGGCTGCCTCCCCAACCTTCTGGCGCTGAGTGTTGCTGCTGGGACCCCAGGACCCACCCCACCCCCTCCCTGCTCCCTTCCCTGGGCACCGCTCAATCCTCAAGCACCGGCTGGGGGCTGCTGCTGCGGGGCTGCACGGGGAGTGAGGCTGCTGGGCTGCATGGGGAGTGAGGCTGCGGGGCTGCGGGCGTCCCGCCCACTCTCCCCCTACCCTGGGCTTAGCAGCCCACTGCCCTCCAGGTGCCTCGACTCCAGTCCAGCCTTGGGACCCCGGGCTACTGCCTCCCCCCAGCCTGTGCACCCAGGCCCAGGAGACACTGCCTGCTCTCCCGATGTGGCCCACAGCGGGCCGGCCCCAGGCCTCAGGGCTCCAGCTCTCCCGGAGTGCTGCGTTGAGCCCCCAACAGCCACATCCACATCCACATCCACACAAAACCTTAGAACACGGCCTAGGCGGGGTCTTCGCAGACGTAATCAAGGCAGGGGCACGCGTGCGGGGTCAGGGTGGCCCCAACTCCAAGGACCTGTCTCTAGAAGAAAAGGAGAGAGGCCGGGCACGGTGGCTCACGCCTGTAATCCCAGCTCTTTGGGAGGCTGAGGCGGGTGGATCACGAGGTCAGGAGATCAAGACCAGCCTGACCAACATGGCAAAATCCCGTCTCTACTAAAATACAAAAAATTATCCGGGCATGGTGGCGGGCACCTGTAGTGCCAGTTACTCGGGAGGCTGAGGCAGGAGAATGGCGTGAACCCAGGAAGCGGAGTTTGCAGTGAGCCAAGATCGCGCCACTGCCTTCCAGCCCAGGCGACAGAGCAAGACTCCGTCTCAAAAAATAATAAAAAAGAAGAAGAGAGAGAGACAGGCAGACGCCGGCCGAGGACCCCGGAGTGATGAGCATGAGCCTGGGACACAGGCAGCGCCCGAAGCTGGGAGCCGCAGGAGGCTTCGGAGCAGCACTTGATTTGGGGTTTCCGGCCCCCAGTGCGGAGAAAGAATGCATTTCTGGCATCTCAAGGCGTCCTGTCGTGGGGCGCGGTCCCTGCAGCCCCAGGACAGATGCATGGCCCAGCCACTTCGGCTCCGGGTCGGTCCCCAAGGCTGGCCCTGTAACAGATGCAGCCGGGCACAGCCCACTGGGCTTGAATGTGGGTCACGCCACAGCTGGGATCTTCCATGTGCACGAGTTCCCGCATCTGTAAAAAGGGGGTGGGGGAGGGGCCCAGACTGAGGCCACAGGAGGGCTCAGGGCTGCTGCCGGCACTGGCTGGCCTCTCTCGCCGCAGACCCCACCCCCGCCGTGTCAGTGAGGCCTCCGAGGAAGCCTGTCCTTGACACAGCCAGCTCCAGGCCCCTGGCTCCTCCCGGCCTGAGGACCCTGCCATGAGGCCCCCCGACAGCCCGCTCCCAGGCGGCCGCCGCGCCTCCTGTTTAAATTGCCGCCTGGTCGGGTTCCCACTGCCTCCCCCGCCCCCCGTGGCTCCCCTCCGGCTTGGCGAGGCGGGCGCCCTCCTGGTTCTGGGCTCTCTTTCCAGTGGGCGTGGGCCGGCTGGAAAATGACCTCAGAGGGTGGGGCGGCTGGCAGGCCTGGGGCGCTCAGGGGGCTCCGGAGAGGGGGGTCCCCACACCATGGGCTTGCTCCGTGAGCTCTGTGCCTGGCATCCTCAGGGATCTGTGTTGTGAGGGTACCTGAGTGCCCAGCGCATCACAAGGTCCCAGTGTCGCCACTGCCCAGTGCTGCTTGTGCCTGGCCCTGCTGCCCGGCATGGGTCTGTCGGAAGGGCATGAGCTGGGGCTGGCAGTGGGCTCTGCTCCCACCACCTGGACCCGAGAGCTGGCCGGAGGGTGCCTGGGGCTGCCCACCTTGCAGGCCACACTGGCAGGACTCAGCCAGGGCTTGGGTGTGAGGGCTTCACCCACTGGGACTCACCGAGGGTGTCTGTGGTCCCTTCGGCCAGATGGACAGTGGGCTCAGAGGCTGTGGTCCCACTGCCGGGTGGGAGCCAGTGGCGTCCCGTTGACAGGATAACAATATTGATAACAGTGGCCTCTGAGGCAGGGACCCGCCAGGTAACTGCTCCTCCCCAAGGTTTGTAGACCAGGAGAAGCTGGGGGTCCCTGATGGGGGCTCAGAGGAGGGGTGAGGCCTCCATCCATCACGGCCATCGGAGGGTGAGACTGGTCACCTGGCAGAGTCTGGGACACTGTTCCTTGTCAGGTGGGAGCCAGGGCTGGAGCCCTGATGCTGCTGAGACAATTTCAGGGGGTCTCTGCCTCCCCGACCCTGGTCTCCCACAAAGCCCACCTCTCTGGGGACTGCCCGGGGCTGAGCAGGGCAGGGAGGGGAGCTGCTGTCTTCGGTGCCAGCCAGGTGCTGGGCTCAGGTGCAGCTTCCAGGCTCTGCTTCCACCAGTTACTACCTCCACTATACAGACAGGGAAACTGAGGCTCAGAGAGGTCAGGTGCCCAGCCTCGGCTACCCAATGCAGTGCTCGGTGGGCAGTGTGGGGCTGACCACCTGCCCTGGACTGTGGGCACAGCGGCCCCCACGTCGGCTGCCGGGACTGCACAGGCTGTGGTGGACTTTAGGATGGCAAACATGCCCAGGTGGGGGCCTACACCCCCAGGTTGAGGGAGTGGCTCCCTGGGGTGGCTGCCGTCCATCCTGGCGGTTCTGGGATTGTGGACGCATCGCCCCAGCCCTGCCTGTCCTCACGTGGCCTTCTCTGCGTCTGCATCTTTCCCACTGTTGTCTCTTACAAGGTCACCGTATGAGGATTTGGGGCCCACCCAGTCCAGGGTGGTCTCATCTAGTTATCTTTAATGTACTCACATTGGCAAAGACCCTTTCCCCAAACAACGCTACCTTCACAGTTTCTGGATGATGTGCCTTTTGGGGGCCACCCTTGAGCCCAGGGCCACCGGGCACACAGGCAGGGCCCAGGGCTGACTTCTAGCTGAGGGAAACTAGAGTCCACACTGATTTTCCAGATGGGCTGGACGGCTGCCCATCGTCCTCAGCATCGGGGGATGGAGGCAGCTGCCCCAACCTCCAAATCCTTGCCAGGAAGAGACCAGAGCCAGCATCTTGGTTACATGGGATGTGCCTTGTAGAACCACCCCCAGGTCCAAGGGCAGGGCCAGGGTGACTCCTCTCGTGACCACTCCAGTGATGGACAAGGACCGGCTTGCTCCCAGGCTGGGGGTTCTGCCCCAAGACAACCCCACATCCCAGACACTATCTCCCAGGCCCTGTTAACTGTTGATCAACCCACCCATCCATCCACTCATCCATCCACCAGTCCATCCATCCACCATCCAACCACCAGTCCTTCCATCCATCCATCCATTCATCCATCCATCCATCCATCCATCCATCCATCCATTCATCCACCCATCCATTCATCCACCTATCCATCCATTAATCCATCCACCTATCCATCCATCCACTCATCCATCCACCTGTCCATCCATCTACCCATCTGTCCATTCATCCACCTATCCATCCATTAATCTATCCACCAGTCCATCCATCCATCCATCCACTCATCCATCCACCTGTCCATCCATCTACCCATCTGTCCATTCATCCACCTATCCATCCATTAATTCATCCACCAGTCCATCCATCCACTCATCCATCCACCTATCCATCCATCCATTCGTCTACCCACGAACCCATCCATCCGTCCACCCATCCATCCATCCACCTGTCCATCCACCTATCCATCCATCCATTCATCTACCCACCAACCTATCCATCCGTCCATCCATCCATCCATCCATCCATCCATCCATCCTTCCATCCACTCATCCATCAACCTGTCCATCCACCTATCCATCCATCCATTCGTCCACCCACCAATCCACCCACCCATCCATCCACCCATCCATTCATCCACCTATCCATCCTTTAATCCATCCACCTGTCCATCCATCCATACACTCATCCATCCACCTGTCCATCCACCTATCCATCCATCCATTCGTCCACCCACCAGTCCATCCATCCATCCATCCATCCATCCATCCATCCATCCATCCACCTATCCATCCTTTAATCCATCCATCCATCCATCCATCCACTCATCCATCCACCTGTCTATCCACCTATCCATCCATCCATTCGTCCACCCACCAACCCATCCATCCAT